AGTGGTTTACTCGCTGGCACTGGCGGAAACTCCACAGCCGCAAATTGGCCAAGAGTGGGGATCACATAAAAATCCAAGGAGGGCATCCAGGAATTTGAAACAGAGGTCAACAGCTAGGCGTGCAGAGGTCTCAAGTCCCACATGGTTGGCATGTACTAATCACTGTGTGCTAATATAGCTTCCTTGTCCCGACTGTTCGCCCAAACATTGTTCTGGATGGGCTGTTGAGAATACAGGATGCGGAATCTATCAACTTCGCCCATCCACATCGTGGGGGTCGGTGGAGTGGCGTGAGCCTCTTGAATGAATAAGTCACCCTTGTCGCACCAACAAGCGTCTCGGTAGGGCGGGGCGAACGTTTCGCTTGGGACTGCCTTGCAATGAATCACCCCGAAGCTTGAACTGTTCAACAGATGCACGGATGGAGGGAGGCCGTTTTCAAAATGCGGCTATCGCCTTAGCGGGACGTGCACTCGCCAACGCAAGTCCAACAATCTCACTGCTCGAGGGGAAGCTTTGCTCAAAGCTTCCGGGTGTTCCTTTGCACCGCGCCCATCTCGTCTTCACCGTCCCAGATAGATACACGGACGGATGGCCGGAGGCAAGCTAGATGGCTCTCGGCCCCAGCGCCGCGCGCAGTCGCTTGCACATGTCGATGGTGGATGCTGAACAACATGTGCGCTCGAGCCAGACACCCTCAGGATGTAATACCGCCGGGGGAACGGGGGTGCAACGATTGCACGGGGAGGTAAGTCTCATTCAGCACACGTATTCCTCTCTGAAGTGTACTCATACTCATACGTCATGTGTTACGACCCGCAGTGTCATGAGGTGCAACGCTGCACAAACTCAGGGCGGCTCCCTCTAAGTTTGAGGCTTTGCTGAACACATCCTTGATGGTGATGCCCATGACTCATGGCAGATCGCCACGCGGGAAACTCTGGAGAGCGGTGCCTTTTCGAAACAGGCCCACCCTTTTGTATGGCTGGCTCCATAAAAGTGGCTGTGATTAGTCGAGGGCTCGCAGCGCCACGGAATCAGTGCAGGAACTCACGAGGAGAGGACCTGGAACAGGAGGGTGCGTGTCAGCACCGTCGATACATCCTGGGCTCCGTGATCCTGGGGAGGAGGGATGGGGGGAGTGACGCCCCCCTGAGCCAGAATGGCTGCGACGATGCGAGGATGAGCGGGAATGGAGGAGGAGAGGAGAGAGGCCCAGAAGGCAATGAGCGTGCACGCGCGGTCGCTCGTGTGGGCGTACTCGACGCCCTGGCTTTCGCACATCCACGCACATCCTCCTCTTCCTGCTCCTCCTTCCCCTCGTCCTCATCCATCCTCGTCCTTCGTGCCCCTCCTCCTCCATCCGCCTTCCTCCTCATGTTAGATCCTCCTCCTGCCCCTGTTCCACAGGTTTCCTTCTACTAGTTTCTTCTCCTCCCTCCTCCTCCTCCTCCTCCTCCTCCTCCTCCTCCGCCTCCGCCTCCGCCTCATCCTCCTCCTCCGCCTCGTCCTACTCCTTCGCCTCCTCCTCCTCCTCCTTTCCCCCTTTCCTCCCTGCCGTTCACTCCCCCACCCCCTCCCCCTCCCTCCCTCCCCCGCCCTCGTCCCCATCCTCCTCCTCCTGCTCCTCCTCCTCCTCCTCCTCCTCTGCCTCCTCTGCCTCCTCCTCCTCCTCCTCCTCCTCCTCCTCCTCCTCCTCCTCCTCCTCCTCCTTCCTCCTCCTCCTCCTCCCTCCTCCCCTCCCTCCTCCTCCTCCCTCCTCCCTCCCTCGCTCCACCCTCCTCCCCCTCCCTCCTCCCTCCTCCCTCCTCCTCCTCCCCTCCTCCTCCTCCTCCTCTCCTCCTCCTCCTCCTCCTCCTCCCTGCCTCCGCCTCCTCCCTCCTCTCCTCCTCCTCCTCCTCCCCTCCCTCCCTCCCTCCCTCCCTCCCCCGCCCTCCTCCTCACACCTGCCCCTCCCCGCCCATCCAGCCCGCCCGCCCTCTCCCCGCCGGTGCTGGCGCGACTGGCCGCGCGACTGGCCGTGCGACTGGCCGCGCGACTCGCCTCGCGGCCCGCCCCCCCACGGAGGGATCCGCATGCGCGGAGGCCCGCGGCGGCCGCCGCGCGCTCGCGCGCCGCCTGGCACGAGGCAGGCGTGGGGCGCACCTCGGCGGTCCCAAGGGATGGTGTCCCGAGGGGCGGGGTCCTGAGGTCGGGGTGCCTCCGACAGCGTAAAAATCTGCAACTGTATCACTTCCTGTCCTCGGGCCCCCATCCCTCAGGACCCCAAGTTTGGGGCCACGGAGCAGCATGACGTGCGGCAGCTTCGCGCTGTGATGCTCTGCGCGGCGGCTTCTGACACCGCGCGCACCCTTCCGACTGGATGGACCGCGGCTCTCCGATCGCGCGGGCACGCTCGACGTCGGCCGACTCTTGGCCCCACGGCCGCGCTCAACCCGGAACGCCCACGGCAGATTCGCCACCGCGCCGCCGCGATGCGAGGCCGCGGTGCGGCACTGCGCGCCCCCCGTCGAGGCGCGCGTCGGCCCGGCACGCACAGCGCGAGCGTCTTGCGCCAGGCTGTCCAGGAGGCACGGGGGCCCAGGCCGCACCCACCCCGGCGCTGACAACCACGAGACGCTCCGGCGTGCGCGTGGCTACCCTCGGATCGAGCGAGAAGATACGCTCCTCTTCTCAGGCAGGCCAGGAGGCGAACGAGTGCACCTGCAGCGTGAGTCATCGTCCTGCTTCTCCTCCCTCCTCCTTCTCCTCGCTCGCTCGCTGAGGCCAAAGAGTCATAAGACGCGACCCGCTGACAATACAGAGTTCACGCAGGTGGTCTCCCTCACCCCCCGCCCGAGGGTCGGGGCGGACGAATAGGGGGCGACATCCGAACTCTACCCCCACCAACCATCGAGTCTCTTGAATCGATGGGGCGCGGGGCTAGGGTTCGGATTTCGCTATGTGTTCGACGAATTCCGAACCCAACCCCCGCCCGCCCATCGAGTTGCCCGAATCGTTGATCGGCGAGGGCAGGGATCGAATATCGCCGCCCAACGGGAGGGAAGGGACTAAAGGCGGGGGCACCGTGTCAG